TAGAGCAGCTCCATCTTGGAGCTAGAAATTTATTTCAACACATGAATGTTGACATCAGCAAGAATAATAATAGAATTTGTGATGTAAAGAAGGATCATGTGCCTGATGCTAAATCTTCAGTGCATGAGAGTTTGGGGCAGAGAGGAACACATATATTGATAACAAGCAGTAAAAGGTAGTATGATCTCATGGCATGTGTTACAAAAGAGCTCGGATTTTTTAAAGAGGGAGAATAGACAGTGGTTTGAAAATCAGATTTAATATAAAATAGAAAGGTGAAATGAATGTTCATTTTCACTCTCAGAGATAACTATTTCATGCATTCTTCTCTCTTCTCAAAATTCAAAATACCACTCAGCCCTTTTCACTCTCAGCCGATGATTTCTCAACAGATCTCCCTTCACTGAGAAAACAGATACAATCAGAAGAAAACGTCCTCATATTCTGAGCTAGAGTAACAAGTAAAGAGATGAAAAGAGGGTGAGGATATAAAAGACTTTTCTGATGACACACTTTGTGTGCTGAGCACAGAGAAAGGGGCTGGGAAAATCTGGATAATTAATAAGATTAGATATGTAAAGGCTTTCATAGTTAAAGATCTACCATGTAGGCTGTTCCAGGAGCTTGTTCTTCTCATGGGGACAGAGGGATATAAAACGTGACTAGACCTGTCTTGAAGTTTTCTAAGGGGAAGAGAAATGATAGGTTCTAATGATATCATCCTTTCTGGAATTGTAGCTTAGGCCAGTGCAGAGGAGCGCGGGTAGGGCTATGTTTGTATGGTGGGGTGGAGGCTGCGGAGCTCTTGTCAGGAGCTCTGTGAGTTCTAAGTGTGGTTCTAGTGAATGGTGAGTCGTGGGGTTTAGGGGAAGGTGGAGGAGAAGGTTTTCTCCCAGCAATAATATTAATGTTGTTATTACTAATAAGTCATGAGTGATAGAGCTGTTAGCCAATGCTAAAGTGTATTAAAAGATAAACTAAGGCATATTAAAATTTTTAATAGTTTGAGCAAAAATTGGTTAGAATCAGACAGCACCAAACAGGAATTGGTTAGGTGCACCCCGCCTTACATAGAGAAAGCATGCAAGCAAAGAAAGGAAATTTATTTGATTGGCTAGAGCTTAATGCTTAGTTGGCTACTTGTGATTGATTGTCTTTAGCACTTTGATTTGTAACTCTGAGGCATTTACAAACTTAGATTTTGGTTGAGTCACCTCAGTCTAGTGGTCTCCTTGCTTAATTAACAAGTGGTAATCATATTGCAATGTATAAATTTGTCAAATTAACACATCATATACTTTAAATTTATACAATGTTATATGTCAATAAAATATAAATTTTAAAAAAATGTTAAAAAATGTCATGAGATTTCCCTGTCCTACCAAATATTAGACCATTTAAAAATCAATAATAATTAAAATGAGGTGTTTCTGGTACAAAAAGATATGCCCTTATTTATTGGAAGAAAGCAAGTAGATTAAAATTTTGCAAACTCTAAAGGAGAGATAGCAAAACTGTAAAAAGTGAGGATTAAGAATCCACGTTTAGATAATGTGGCTCAACCAAAAGTTAGAACTTAAAAAAAAATAAACTTTTCTTCAAGAATATACCAAGTAAAACAGCAGAAATAAGGAAACATTAAATATACAGACTTAAATGGAAAAACTGAGAAATAGATTGGTTATATATCAAATATCTGAAAGAGAAGACACATTTTTAAGCTTGGAAACAAGCCAGAAGAAATCAAAAAGATAAAGAGCCATATTTTTGTTAGATACAAGTTTTAAACTTCAATATGTCAATAAGGTAAAAACAATTAACCATTTTGACAAAGAAATATTTTTAGAAAGAGATACATACACATTATATAATATTGTAATGTGTTTATATCTTGTTATCTTAATTATATCTTAATGCTAATTAAGATCTCAAAAACAAAAAATAAATCACCCAATATGAATTACAAATAGTAAACAATATTTAGAACATCAAACTTAGCTACTATCGAAGAAATGTAAAACAAAAGAGCTATATTTTTTTCACTATTAAATAACCAAAATAGTTAGTGATAGCCAGTAAGTTGAGTCCTGGAATTTTATTCTAAAGAACTAATTCAAAATAATGAAAAGTCTATGTGTAGAAGGATATTCACCACTTCATTATTTATAATAGTAAAAAAACTGTTACTCTCAAAACAAGTGAATGGCCAGGCAAATAATATGCAGCTATTAACAATAAAGTTTATGAAGAACATATAGCAGAATGAAAAAGATTATGTTATAATAAAAAGTAAAAAAAACCTATACCATTTTACATAACTACAAGGATATAAAAAACAAATAATGGGGAAAATATATAAAAATAATTGTTAAATTGTGGTGGCAAAATTATGGAAGATTATCCTGTGCTTCCAAATTTTCTAAAATAATGTTGTATAGTTTTGATAACTTTACATTTGCTTTAGAAATGTTGGCCTGAGTGAAAAACATTAAAAGTCTTCTATAAATTCTATAGCATCCTTAAATTTTGTAATATCGTAGACAACTAATGACATTAAAGATAAATGGCATGTTTGCTCTACTTAAATCAGAAAATTGGAATATAGCTTACAAAAGAATTTCAAAGATACCGTATCTCCAGCTGCATCCATACATCTTTTAGAGATGATTTAGCCTTGAAGAACAAAACCACCTTAGAGTTAACCTAGAATTCTAAAAATTCATACCTTGAAAAGTTTACTTCCTAGTGAAACCTTATTATCTGCCACAAAGAAAGACAACACGGTCCACAATTATACAAGTATTATTTCAAAATGTCTTCCAGTAGCTAGCACTATAAAGATGTGCCATGTTTATTTCACGATGGATAGTCCTTAAAATATTGCTCTTCAGCCTTAGATTATCCACTTTATCAAAATTCAAAGGCTATATGAATGAAAGAACACTGTTTCATATCTTCGGTTTTCATGTTCACCGTGCAGCTGTATAAACCATGGGGAATCTCACTGAAACGTCCTCCAGTAGTTTTTATGCAGATGGCAAAACATAAACGCTTCGTTATGGAGACATAAACATGCACTGCGGCTTCATGACAGAGAATGATGCAGCGTCAATCTGTAGAATCATTCCCCTCCTCATGTGGGAAGCGGGGAAAAGCTTCAGTTTAAAAACAACTTAGAACCACATGCTCATAAGAAACACTTCAATTGGTACCAGCTGTAACTTCTCATTTTGCATGGAGGCTGCATTACTTGGCCTGGACAAAGTTTATTTTAAATCTCTTTGTCTCAGTGCTCCTAGATCTAACGAACCAAAGGAGTGGGCATAATGCAAAGGGAATACGTGTTTAGACTCCACAGGAGTTACTCCATTTTGTTGCACAAAACAAAGCTTGGAATAGCCCTGCCTCCAGAGGTCTAAATTAGCCATAGAGAAGCTGTTCCCATCATTGCTGCTTTCTCTACAGAGCTATTTCCTCTGTCATAAGCCCTCAGCCTGCTCCACCCACTAGAGACTTGCAAAGCCTTTGCTCACCAGAGAAGTCCTTGGAGGATACCCCACCAAGTTCTGTGTCTCCATCTTCCTCTTCTCTCAGTTGACTCAATTCTGCTTTCTCAAATCCCTGAGTATAGGCAGGTCAGTAAATGGTTCAAAGCTTCTGGTAATGATAGCCAAGTAAAGCGTTCCAGAAGAAACACAGTTTGTGTTTGCATGTAGGGTGAGGTCCAGTGTTTGTACATGCATATCGGTCAGAACACTATCACAGTGTTATTCGTAAAAGCACAGTTTGGAAGACATCTTAGAAATAAGTTTGTTGAAATGTTGCTTATTCTTTCCTACCATTCTAATATTAAAAGCCTGGCTTTTTTTTTTTTTTTTTTTGGAATTATTATGACACTAGTCTTGTGATTTAGGCTACATTTAGACATTCAGTAGTCAGTGATTTAGTAAGTAATTAAGGCATGTCAATTCCAGCTGGAATCATGATCTTGATGATGATTCAACTACTGGCAAGTCATCAGAGGGCTTGTGGAGGGTTTGCTGAGATGCTGAAGAATGATTTGGTGTTTAAAAACATGGAGTATTCAAGGGTTACTACCTCTCTTCCAATCCTAGAGATGGGCTTGAGATCACTACAAAATAGATATCCATACGTAGTCATAATAAAGTCTATTGATTTAAGAACACACCAACATATATTACAGTAAAAAATATTAAGAAAGATTTTCAAATAGAATTTAGAAAACAAAATTCCTCATCCCCATTCGCAGACCTGTTTGTCCTCCACCTCCCTCCTCCTCATTCCTGTAACGGCTTCATGCCCTTCTAAGCTACGGGAGCCCAGTACTGGGTACCCAATACCTTCGCACCTTATTTCACTCTCCATCCCTTTCTCCACCTACCCAGTCATCACCTAAGCATTCAGCTGCCTAAGAGCTCTTACGATTCCCACCCCCCATTGCATGAGTCCTTTATAATCCTTCACATATGCCTTTATATCATATTGCCTTTTCTTTGCTTGCCCACAATCCAATACCACAAAGAGCCATCTTCCCAAAGCATATTCACTAGTATATTCAAAACGTCTGTGATAATTGCACATCACACACTCGTGGGATAATCAAAGCTCACCATGGTGGTGATACAGATTCCTCAAAGTCTTTCCCATTTCTCTCCTCCATGTATTTTTTGCTTTGAACAAAAATGTTCTCCTGCTGTTATGCTTTTACTCAAACTGGAACGTTCTCCTAGCCTCTTTTCTCTCTGCATCTTCAACATATGTCCAAAAACTTACCTTAAGACACCAATTATAAGTACTTTGGTCAATGGGACCACTTTTTATAGCCCTTGCCCTTTTATATATGTGTGCCTTCAGCTTGACAAAACTAAGATTTTTGCGGGCAAAAATTATGTCTCCTCCCAAAGTATCCAGTGGCTTAAACAGGGTAGACACTCAAATATTTGCCAAGTACCTGATAGCCTTTTCATTTTCTTTTTTAGTGGCACCACCCCCTTATGGCTACGACCACGAGATGCAACACTGTGCAGAATTGCCTCCTCCCTACTCTCCAACTCCACAGGCTTCAGCACAGCGTTCTCCACCTCCTCCTTATCCTGGAAATTCAAGGAAACAATCCTTCTCCCAGAACAGACTATGTGCCAATCTAAGGTCTTGCCCGGAATAAAATGCCTACTCAGAAACAGACAGAAAAGGATTGCTCTAAGAAATATGCCTTTTGAGTCACACAACACATGAAGTGGAATGTCCAGGCAAAGAAAGACAGGGTTTTTATCCTTCTCAGAGCTGATCCCATCTGGAGTGTTATGTTTGGTTTGATGGGACCACATTTGAAAAGATCTACTGATCAACATAAGCACATTCAGAGAAGAGTAATGAGACAGACAAAATATCTGAAAATCATGTTGCTTAAGGAAATTGCAATACTGATCCTGAAAAAGAGACGATTTATATAAGACAGGAAAATAGCCTGGACTACACAAAGAAACCACTGAATTCTATATTCCATGCCACTTTAAAAAGTCAGACCCAGAATTGTTCATTCCTTCATTCATCAATAAATGCAGATCAAGTGCATGAGAATCTACTCTGTGCCTTATACTGTTTGAAGCACTGGATGGAAGCTACAGGACCTTTGGTTTCAGAATAAGAACAAGTAACTTTGATTTCTGTATAAAAAAGAGCAATTGGAGCTTTTGTGAAAAGCCCTGTTACCAAGACTTCAAACAGAACCTGGCTGGCTATCTGGTAGAGATATGCTTAAAGCAAATAGCAGAAGTTCTATTGGGCCCTCAAAAGTTCTGCTCATATTTTAGGTAGGTGCAAGGTAAATTGCTATGCCCCCAAGAATGAATATAACTAGAACAGTTGAATCTTATCTATTTAATTTGAGAGTTAAAACAGGATCAAAGGGATTCAATAGCTGCTTGAAGCCAAGAACTCTTCAATGCTAGCTTTCTTTCACCTAAAAATCATTCGACTTTAATTAGAGTGTTATGACAAAGATTCCAGCTGTGAAAAAAAAAAAAAAACAAAACTATCATTCCACAAGCAATAAATTCTTCACTTCTGATTAAAAGATTAGAAGCCAAATATTCCCACGGGATTTTACATCAGGAAGTAAAACTCAGCACTTGATTATGAATAAACACAAGTTTACAAAAGAAGCAGAAAAATGACATTTGGATTCTGTTCTGTGGAATTCCATTCATAGGTAGCTTAGGCAAATTTTGTTTCTCTTTTGTGATATTTTGATAATCTATTCCCTTTAAAAAGTTACATAATTAATATAAATGTTAAGATATTGACATCTAATTGTTGCCTTTTGCCAAAATCCAAATGTTATGAAGTGCCTACCTTTAGCTGAAAAAGTTGTTATCTAATGTGCCATAATTTGCTGCAAGTGACATTAACATTTATATTTTTATGTTGGTCCTTTAATATAGTTAAAAATGAGAAAATTTGGAGAATAAATGATTAAATTTTTGTATTTCTTTGCAATTAAATCTAAAATGTTTAATCCAACATCATTATCATAATTCAGTGAAATCCCAAAACAATGCTAAGAATTTTGCTGAATAAAACAATCAAAAGCAATATCTTAAGGTATAAATTATAGTTCCCATACTTGTTAAGAAATTATTAGTAGCTAATATAAGTAGAATATTTTACTTTCAAATAAGATCAAATACATTGATCTGACTGAAATATGGTTTACCTGCCAGTGAGATCTAAAAGCTAGGTTTGTTTTAAATGACTTGCTTGATTTTTAGGCACTGATGATTTTCCTATTTATGAAGATGCAATGCATTCAAGAGTTCTAGCCTATTCTAATGACTGAGATTTTAGCACAATTTTAACAGTACATATGTTTTAATTTATCTCTCCTTTGCAAGTGTGATCAGACCCAATTACACAGCAGCTATGAAATTCAAAGTGCCAGAGTCTCTGTGACTTTCAGAATGTTGGTAGCAAATGTATCACATATTTCTTAAGAAAAATGGAGAGGAAAAACCAGTGGAAATTGAATTCTCATCATCTTCACTGTCAATAAACATTTATTGTGTACCTCCTATGTTCTGCAAACATTACCCACAAAGGAGCCATTTCAATTCACACCATCTCTCTATTCTGAGTTGTTTTATGGCCTCCCATAAGGTATATCACAAACCCGTAGACCTACAATAGATGAGTATTTTTATTATCTATATTTAGAGTCACAATAGCATAAATGTACATCATCAATATAGCCTTTTGGAACTCACTGATGATTTTCATAGATGATACATCTTGGGAGAAAATAGTATGTGATGTGAAAGCTTTGAATTATGGTTATTTAAAAACTAATGTATTTGCTGGGGCCAAAATGTTTGCAGTAAGCAATAAAATGAAACAACCCATTATAACAAGGGTTATATTTTAATTGTCTTGTGTTTATTTTGTTTCACACCCCATTCCTGTTGATTTAGCCTCATTCTTCTGTAAAGGAAACAAAGGACTAGTGCCAGAGACACTTGTTCTGTTGTTTTTGTTGTTGTTATTTATTTGTTTGCTTTTTAATCCTGTGTCCTACCTGTATGTTTTAAAACAGGCCCCTTCATCTCTCCAAAAGTTCATCTTTCTGCTCTGGAAAATGTAAATCATATAACGGGTTTCATCACGTTTTGTGAAAATTGAGTGAATACATGCAAAATTCTAAGTATGGTGCATGGCAATTAGAAAATGTTAATATTAGCCAAAAAAATTTTTAACAAAAGAATAGGGATGATAGCCTCTGGGACTGTGCTATCTGACACATTAGCCACCAGGTACATATGGTTATTTAAATTTAAATGAATTAAAATTAAACTAAATGAAAAAATCAGTTTCTCAGTCTCACTCGCCACATAGCAAATGCTACATAGCCTCATATGGCTAGTGGCTACTTTATTGGGCCGTGCTGCTATAGAACAATCCTCCATGCAAAATGCAATGAGGCAGCAGGATGGAGTTGAAGAAGAAGCCGCTATAGTCATCTTGTCCAGGAGAAACTGTGGACTTTGTCACTTAATGGTGATGTCCACCAAAATTATTTGTGACGAGGCCACTGCTGTGGAAGTAAGCCTGTGACCTGCAAGACGACCATGAGCAATGAAAAGCCCACTCAGGCCCTCTCTCCTTAGGGCCAGGGGTAGGGAAGATATTACAAGACCTGAAGGGCTGAATCTAAATGAGAGACCTTGGACCTGGTCCAGGAGTTGGTAAGACAGGAGGAGCACAGCCTGTTGCCAGACTAATCAGTTCTTCAGCTGCCCTGCTCAGCTCCATCACAGGAGTACCCAGGGCCACCCACATCTTCCTGAGGTGTAGCAATGAGGTGTACACTTCTATTATTTCAGAATCTTGTTCTTGCCACCAAATGAAAGCAGCACCCACCACTCATCCACACTATTCCCAACTCGTCCTTATTTAGCCAAACCCATTCTGTCAGTTTGGGGCTGCAGCTGAGGTAGGATTAGGCACACGTCACACAATACGAGCCCATTAAATAATGGAGCTCTAGGTGCTATCGGTTTATTTTTAACTTAATTAGAACAACCTAACACCAGAATGTCAGAGTTACATGATCATCTTCCTAACCACCAGGGAGGCTGCTAAGGATTGCCAGCTCCCCAGTCAGAACCTGGTTGAAATATGCAATTTAAATTTTCTAATTATAAGCCCAAAATGCAAGGGATATCACTGAAGTGTGTAAGTTCAGTGTTCTTTTGGTACAAGCCCACTGTGTGGGATGGTTCAGTTCAAACTGTGTCAGGACTTCCAGAAAGGAAAAGTGACATAACTAGCTTTAAAAAGATTTTACAGGTAATTCTGATTGTCACCCTAGTCCCAACACTGCCCTTGCTTCTTATGACTCATTAATCCAAAGGAAAGAACTAAGGCTTCGGAGTAAGAGAGACTTGGATTTCTCTCTCATCTCTGCCATCTTCTAGCTATGTGTTCTGAGCCAGGTAACTGGGTTTCCATAATCTCAGTTTATCCAAACCATGCGAACAACACCACCCTTGCCAGGTTGTTGCAATGATCATAAACAGTGTACTTAGAACATCTGTCATAATGATTCTATCTGGGTTGGTGATTCAGATACAAAAATATATATATGTGCGTGTGTGTGTGTGTGTGTGTGTGTGTGTGTGTGTGTATACCTATTCTCTTTCCAAACTTTGTGTCCCCATTTCCAAGCCTTACCACTTCCATAAGCAGGTGTAATAATTATCAATTACCTGAAAATTTAGTGGCTTGAGACAACATTTATTATATCAGTTACTATAGTCCTAGAATCTGGGCATGGCTTAGCTCTGTCTTCTGGCTCAGGCACTCTCACTGGCGGCAGTCATCTCAATATATAACTGAGGAAAAATCTACCTCCTGGCTCACGCGTAAATGGTCATTGATAGGATTCTGTTCCATGCAGGCTTGTAGACCAGAGACCACCCTCAGTTCCTTAACATATGGGCCTCCCCGTGGGGCAACTCAAAACACATCATCTTGCTTCCCTAGAGCGAGCAAGCAAGCAAGCACAGCCACAGAGTGAGAGAGTGGGCCAGCAAAATATTGCAAGGGGGAGTCACAGACTTTTAAAACCTAACCTTAGCAGTGACATCCCACCACTTTTGCCATGTTCTCTTCCTTAGAATCAGGTCACTAAGCCCAGTTTGCATAAAAGAGGAGGGGATTCCATGAGGGCACAAACCCAGAGGCAGGTGAGAGCCTCAGGAGCCATCTTAGCGGCTGGTGACCTTTGCGGGGACATTTCGTCTCATTTTCCTGAAGTCCATGATTTGGAGTCAGACAGACTCCAAATGTACCACCTCAACAGCAGAGAGAATCAGAGGGCCATGCTGGGCTGTGTTCAAATTGCTTTTAGTGAACTGACGGGGGTGGAATGGAGCCAGCAGCTTTCACAGGACCACGCTAACCGGGTGAGTGAGACATTCCTAAGGAATTCTGAAAGTGACGCACAACGCACAACGTTTGTGCTTCTCATGAACTTCATTTACTAGCTGCACTAAAGTACACTTCGTTTTCGCAGGGAGCAAAGTATACCACATACCACATACCTCATGGTCAAGTCTTAACCTGGTCTCCGTTCGTGCCAAGATATTTAATCTTCATCAAGAAAAGAAT